ATAAATTATAAGCCTTGGAAACCAATCCTCCTTTTAGGAATTATAAAATAGAGCATATATGAAATAAGAACTTCCTCTCTTTCATTCCTTAAAAGAACAGAGAATGGAATGGTCAAGTAGCATGTTTTGAAGATATCTTTCCATTGGACTTAAAAACGAATTGCTGATCTCTTTCTGAAAACAGTGACTTTGTTCTAGACTCGTTAGAGTCTTCATTGCTATGTACAGTCTCAGTTTTCCCTCTGTCACTTGGAGAACAGAGTCATCCTGCACCATTCCCTTTTACTTTCTTCAGTTTTATTCAAGGAGAATGTAGTAAAAAAAAAATGCATCCAGGGAAGACATATACAAGAGTTTACCTGATAACCATAGATACAAATTCATAATAAAATTAAAACCTTTTCAATTCGAGTAATTCAGGGGAATATGAATTTTTGCATGAGATTAGTATCTATATAAATGATACCAATACAATGGAATATTATGAAAAACGTTCCCTAATCCTCTGTTTCATGCTTCATATGTAATCACCACTTATTAGTTGTCTTAGAATACTGAGCTTCAGCTTCTTAACAAATGTGCATGTGAGTTTTAGGTTGATTTTCAAATTTTGTACATTGGTTCTATCAACCTGCGTGATGAAACATCACAGGTATACATCACCCCTTATCAGCATTTTATTGCAACTCAAAAAACTGTGAACTTAGCCACAGTATTAAAGTCTTCATTTTAAAAATGATGTAATCTCATTCATTGAACAATTCTGTATATTTATTTAGTCACCCATTTTAGAGATTTTGAGACATATGCAAGCATAAAACCAGCAATAAACAAGATGCTGTGAAGGTTTGGCATGGTTGATAGTCTAAGCTTTTCATAAAGGTAAATCATAGAAATTTTAATTATTCCATATGCTTTTAGTACTAAATACTCCGCAGTCTCTCTGTGTCACTTATCTTCCAGTATCCTGTATATTTCAAGAGCAGCTTTTGGGGTTAAAGTATAAAAATAAGTAGACAATACATGTGCCCAACATTGCAAAGCACAAAATTTTCCCATTTTCTCTCTCTGACTTGATCCCAGTACTAAAGAACTATTAAATAATTGTTGTGGGAAAGATTGAAAACCAACCACTAATTTGAGGTCAAAACCAACAAAAATATTAAAAGTATTAAATAGATTAAAACCCTAATTTTCCCCACCTGGCTCAGTTGGTTGGAGCATTGTCCCATACACCAAAACGTTCAGGGTGCATGCTCGAACGTTTGTGGGTTCCACCACAGGTTGGGGTGTCTGCTGGAGAAAACAGATCAATATCTCTCTGTCTCTTTTTCGCTCTCTCTTCAGCATGCTCACAGGGATTTATGGTTAACTTTTACATGAGCTTCTGCAACTTTTTTTTTCTGTAACATAGTCCTGAGATCTTTCATATAATAAGAAAGCATTAAATAGAAATATATGTGTATTTTAAAAATCATAGTAATTTAAATCTGACATGATTAAACACTTATGTTTACTTGAAATATCTTGGACAGAGCAATAGATAAATTTGGAAATAACACTTTTTTCTCCAACTTAAAATATTTTAAGGTATCCACCATATCTATATTATTTGAAAAGTAAACTGTTCTTATTGAGCAGTTTGTCATCACTTCCTTCTATGACTCAGCATAGTTGTATAATTTCATTGTTGAGAAAATCAGGGCTCCTTTGTAAAGTCTATGATGGTTGATTTACTTATATTTCCATATTCTACTCATTCATTTCTTTCCATGTGGTTTCCTGGGCCTTTCTTTTTTTCAATATTGTGAAATATAGGAATTATCATAATTTATGCATACATTTTTCCTGTTCACATATATGCATAGATAAACTAAATATATGAGAGTGAATTTAAGGTCAATGAACTTAAACTAGGAAACAGACACACTCTTGTACAGGAGCTGTAGATGTCTACTTCCCAATCACATCTAGGGCCTTTGCATAATGTCTCTGAAATCCAACCTCATCTATCATCCAGAGGCTAAAATTATTTGTGACTTTTATCTCTTGTCAAGTTTTTCTTGGACTGACAAATGGCTGCCTAGAAAATAGAACTCACATGCCATTTACATACTTTCTTTCTTTTCTACCTCCAAAACTTGCCATTTGTCCGCTCCTACCAGGTCTCCCTGGACAGGAATTTATTGTTTAGTTAAGCATAAGTTTCAGACCTGGCCAGTGTGGTTCAGTGGATTGAGCATCATCCCATGGACTGAGAGGTCCTGGTTCAACTCCTGGTCAGGGCACATTCCCGGGTTGTGGGCTCGATCCCCAGGAGGGGCCGTGTAGGAGGCAGCTGATCGATGTTCTCTCTCACGTCATTGTTGCTCTCTCTCTCTCTCTCCCTTCCTATCTCTCTAAAATATCAATAAAAACATATATATATTTTTTAAAGAATAAGTTTCAGATTCTTTTGTCTTTATGTATTTCTGTGGTTGGATAAGAAGAGATTTTTCTTTGACAATAATCTCCATTACCTTTTGGACTTATCAGTCTCTTAAATTATTAATACAAATAAAGCACTTTATTTATTTATTTATTTATTTATTTATTTATTTATTTATTTATTTATTTTGTGGTATGTGCCCTTAGCGGGAACTGAATCCGGGACTCTCTGGCCTGCAGGCTGACGCTCAACCGCTGAGCCAAACTGGCCAGGGCATAAAGAAAGCACTTGATTGTACAGCACTATGACACTACATATTTGAAGGTAAATTCATATTTCTGTAATTAAATGAGTAGAGATCATTCGCTTTATCAGCTTAATGAACTGCAATGGCATAAAGCATTTCAACTGCATGGCAGTTGATGGCACTGGGTTTGGCAGACATTTATTTGTTCATTCACTGAACAAATATTGAACACTTTCTATATTCCCAGTGCTGTACTAGCTGTTGGAAAAAAGAACCCAATCATGCTCACACCACTCGAATCCGCATTGCAGGTGTGTCTATCTGATTACAATCTAGGACGAGAGGACCATCGAAGAGGCAAAGCCTGGTGATTACAAGCCCATCTAAGTGCACTCTTGTTCTCTAAAGTAGGTAGTTTTGTCTTATCCCCCATGAGGTGACCTGTGGGATAATCCAATTTATGTCCTGGAGACATTTGTGATGGGATTTTAGTATAGGTTACTGATTACCATTTTTTCCAAAACCTAGACTCACAGAACGACCATGAGTTATGTAAACACTCAGAGCAGATCTTATCTTCTCACTCAGTTTGACATGGTTGTTTCAACTGATGATTCCTGATTGACCTAGGTTGGGGTACATGGTAATCCCATAGATATATGTTACCTGTTAAAGTTAATTCTTCCCCAAATGCCTATTAAACTCACAGAAAAAAATGTAGTTACTGTGGAAAAGTATAAATAAATTGACAGTTTTTTTAAAAACCATGAAAGCAATAAAGGAACCTGAAAACTAAAATTTTCATGAGAAAATGTTAATTAGTTTACAAAATGAATGCTCCCAAGGATACAAAGAACGTTTTGTGTAGGCCTAACTTAAAAGACTATTGTGTTTATTGTGAAAACTTCTTTTAAAAGTGCAATTCTCACCTGGCCAGTGTGGCTCAATGGTTGAGCATTGACCCATGCCACAAGAGGTTGCCGGTTCAATTCCCATTCAGGGCACATACCCAGGTTATGGGCCAAATCCCCAGTGGGGGACATGCAAGAGGTGGCCAATCGATGTTATCTTTCATTAATGTTTCTCTCTCCCTCCCTCTCTCTTCCTCTCTCTCTAAAATCAATAAAGAAAAAAAAATATTTTTAAAGTGCAATTCTCAGAACTTAGTGATATACTTGTGCCTAAAAGATACAAAGCTTAGCTCTTAAGGTTAGTATACATGTAGACTATAAGAAAAACATTTAATAAGAAATATTTAGATAGCGCTACTCTGAGAAGGCAGAGAAAGTGCTATGACGTGGTCAATATTGTTATTTTTTATCCAATAAATGGGTCAAACTATGAAATGTGTTTATTGAACCCTCAAAATTGTATTGGTCTTAGAATCAGAGCTAGTATTTATATATTCAAAAGACTGGAGACTACTTTCGGTGAAAAAAATCAGAGAAAATAATTAACAAGAGTACCTACATTTAGTGCTCAAATCAGTCCTTAAAAGTCACTTTACTGATTCTCAAGATCAGTTCCATAAATTTTCTTGAGGCTCATAAGCATTAACAATGTATGCAAAAGGAAGAACGTTTAGCAATTTGAATATGCACAAGTCCTCCCGTACTTCAAATAAATAAAATTGGTTCTTATTCAAATAATAAGTAAAACTAATTACCAATCCAACCAAAACTTAGACTTTGTAACATTAGCAGCTAATTTACATATTGAACAATACTTAAATAACATCAGTATCAATAAATATTGTGGAAACATTTTTTAATCTTAATTCAACTTTTTAAAAAAAATGTAGGGGGCAAAAAAGTGACACAGAGCGAGTGAAAGAGAACACAGAGGACCAAGGACTTTGAACAAAACCAAAAGGTTGCCTTCGATGATCTATGCATTAACCCCCCCACCCCCACCCTGTGCTCAGAATACTGGAATATTATCTTTCCCCACCCCACCCCATCACAGACTAAGGTCACTTATAAATAATCACATATTCAGCTATAAATGCCAGAGACCCAACATCACTAGACTGTTATTAATATATTTTTCTTTGTTTGTGTTTCAATACTTTTGGCACACAGGGGATTATCTATGCTGAGACCATTCGGCCTGATATCAAAAATTCTACTTTAATGCATAAACAGTGGCATGCCAGAGATGCCTAAATTCACAGTAACGTTTAAGGCTATTTGTTGCCGAAAGCTGTGAACATGCATGCTGATTAAGTGTTCTCATTCATGCTCCTGTCTGTATTCTTTCACTGGATAATGAGATAGGCTGCCCTTTCTGTCCGTCACTAGAGCAGCTGGAGACCGCATTTGCTACCTGGCAAAACTTCCGAAGGAGGATCTTTCTTAGCAGCAGATACACCCAGGGATCCAAGATCTGGTTCAGTGAAGCCAGGCGGACAGCTATTAAGAAGAAGTTGCATTCCTTCTGTTTCTCTGGGTGCGTCTTGCAGTGTTCTACCGATGTCTGATTGAAGATCATTTTCAACATCATTATCTAAGAAAGAGGGACAGATCATAGTTCCGAAGATTAGTAAAGGCATATGCATCTCCTCTGCCCAGTGCTTTGCACGTGGTCAGCTTACAATAAATTGGTGGCTGCAGTGAAATGAATTCAAGCAACATTACTACTCACAGGACACAGCCCTGAATTATACAGGACATTCCGACAGATGCTCCCACATATTTTGGCTATCTGACATGATGCAGTTTTTTTTTTAAGTGTATGTTCTCAGGCTCTTGATCTTTGGGATTAAGAAGTTTCAAAATAACACATTTCTCAAAGTTAGCCAAAGTCATCTGTCTTGTTGCAAAAAACACCAGCAACACCCAAATGAGAGCTAACATTTCAACATAAGCAAAACATATTTAATCTTAAACTTCAATAGTTGTAACTGAAAAAAGGTTACTGAAAAAAAAAAAAAGAAGCAAGAAAGGGGATAATAATAATAGCAACAACAACAACATTCTCTTAATCCTAACAATTTGCCAGGCACTGTGTCAAGGAACACATAATACAATAAACAGATGATATATTATAGAATTATACACCTGAAATCTATATAATTTCATTAACCAATGTTGCCACAATAAATTCAATAAAAAAGAAAAGAAAAAATAGAAGATAGATGTTGTTGCCATCTCTTTTTACAATTGCAGAAACCAAGGCTTAATGATATAAAATGGCTGAGCCAGACTTACACCCAGGCTCACTAACTTCATCCAGCTCATGGTAGTTTACTTTTCTTTGTCTCCCCTCCTCACCATGTACACATACTAGAATGTAGACTCCATGAGGGCAGGATTTGGGACTATTCTTCCCCCACAAGTATATATACAATACCTAGGCCAAGATTGAGCAGATAGTGCTCAATAAATATTTGTGAATAAATGTATTATATGACACGTATGTGACTATATTATGTGATATATATACTGTAATATATCCATTTGTACTTGAATGGATAAATACTTGTCATTTGCACAGAAGAGAAAAGTAGAAGGTTCACATGCATTGGAAAAAATACTCGAGCCCATTAATCATCAGAAAAATGCAAATTGGGACAAAATAACAAACCATTTTACACCCAGGAATTTGACAAAATGGAAGAAATGTGACTTTTCCAAATGTCACCGAGAATGTGGGCCAGTGAGGACTCTTTTACACACTACTAGCGAGAATGTAAACTGTAACCACCACTTTGGGAAACATCTGGGCACTACTTCATCTGCTGCCTCCCAGCTAGCCTACTCCTGGGAATACACTGTCCCAATTCCTGTGCATACGACTGTTCTTCACAGCGTTGTTCATAATAGCAAAAAAAAAAAAACACACAAAAAAAAACAAAGCAAAAATAAAAAAAACAAGAACAACTCAAACCTGGGTTCACATTCACAAGCAAAGAAAGGTGCTGACATTATCATTGGTTTCTAAATTCTTCTTTCTTGGTGCCCCGCTACTAAGCACTTGACATGTGGCTGGCGCAAATTGAGATGTTCGAATATGTAATGATTACATAAGGAAATGATAATATTTTTCATATATTGTGTTAAGTAAAATATATTATTGAAATTAACATCACTTGTTTCTTTTTACTTTTTCTAAAATGTTGCTATTAGAAAATTAAAATTATATATGGGGATTGTATTTGTGGCTCACAGTACATTTCTATTGAAACCACTATATCTGTGGAGTCCCACATCTACTGGGATGTTCTTTCTTCGGGTCACATATCCCAAATTGAAGTCAACAGCCCTGAGCACCTGAAACTCCCGAACTGCAAACCCTCGATGCCAACCTTGGCACTTTCATTCTTACACAGTCGCCCTGGCCCCACGTGTCCGTCATCTCTGAATCCTTTTGCTTCAGCCTCTGTACTGCATTTTGCTGATTCCAGTCTCATCCGAGTCCAGTTCTTGCACTGCTCTGGATTATAGTAATAACAGACACCACATGGTGCATATAGATGTCAGCACATCACTGAGGCAGCAGCCTAAATCCAGCTCTGATCAAAACCTCACTAGCTATAAAAACTCCAACTTGGTCTTATTGGACAGAGGTGAGTCACAGGTAATTCTTAAATCGATCACTGGCCAAGGAGATTGGAAAAAGTCAGGTTTGGCTTATAGGACAAATTCATTCTCTGAGGCTTACGCCATGGTCCTTGACCAAATTACCATCTAATACCTGAATGAGTAGGCAACCAGTCAGTACACAGCATATATTCTGAGTGCATAAATTCTTTCAAATGATTTTTTCCCAAGGGATTTATTCAATAAAAAGCAAAAAACAGCTGCACAAATAATTGAATGTTCAGTGAAGTATTCTCTCTATCAGACTCTAAACACCCGAATCTAACATCGAGAGTAGAGCTTGACAAAATAAAATATTTTATTCCGTATGGGTCTGAATGCTCCCTTGATCAGCTTGTTAGGAGGCTGATCAGCAGGAAAGATGGTGAAGAGTATCTGTGCACAAGCTAAAAAACAGCCTCTGTGCTATCCAAGCATCCTGTTCTTTTTTTTTTTGCATTTATCTTCAGATAGAGTGGGAGGGAGAAAGGAAGGAAGAGAGAGAGACGCATCGAGTGGTTGCCACCCACATGACCCCAACCGGGCTGGGCACAAACTGCAACGAAGGTACGTGCCCTTAGGGGGGACGCTCTGGTCCACGCGCTGACACTCTAAGCGCTGAGTCAAACTGACCAGAGCAGCATCCTGTTCTTTGTACACAGAGTAGAATACTATATTTAGTTCACATAATAGTACGTATAAGAATTAAGTGAAGCCCTGGCCGGTTTGGCTCAGTACTTAGAGCATCGGCCAGCAGTCCAGAGAGGCCCGGTTGGGTTCTCACTAAGGGCATGTACCTCGGTTGCAGTTTGTCCCGACCCTGGTTGGGTTGCTTGGGTGGCAGCCACTCGATGTGTCCCTTTCACATCGATGTTTCTCTCTCTCTCTCTGTTCCTCTCTCTCCCTCCCACTCTTTCTGAACAAAAAATGTCCTCAGGTGAGGATAAAAAAAAAAATTAAGTGAAGAGAGCAGTTTATAAAACAATATTATGTATATAAAATTAGGTTGTTATTATAATTATATTATATAAAATATATAGACTGTGAAAGGCAAAGGAATTATCACTATCAAACACTAATTTACTAGCAATCATTAAATTATTTTTTAAATTTTATGTACATAAACACATTTCAAACATTTTAGGAAAGCCTTATATTTAAAGGAAGTTGATTATTATTCCCTTTATTAATACCTACGAATTTATTAAACTCACTTATTATACATCAGATGCATTTAAAATTAATATATCTACATTAGTTCCGTTCAAAGTCCTGTGAACTGAACACTGTCTCCCACTGTGGTCCCCCCAAAGGTATCCAGGTCCCGGCCCCTGGACCCCGTGAACATGTTGTCACAGGTGGGAAAAGGACGCAGCAGTGATGAACGTTAGGGCCTCGCCCTGGGGAGACTGTCCTGGATCGTTGGGGTGGGCTCTCTGTGTCACATGGGTGCTTCATACCTGAGCACGTTTTCGGGCTGTGGTCGGAGGGAGACGGGAGTACCCGAGAAGGGTCGGAGAAACAGAACGTCGGTTCTGGGGAAGGGAGGAAGCCACGAGCTAAGGAATGCAGATGGATGGCCTCTAGACACCGAAAAAGGCAGTGATGCCGGTCTCGGGGTCTCCGGCTCCCAGATAAAATGCCGCTCTGAGGACACTTCGATATTCGCCCGGTGAGACCCATGTCAGGCTTCTAACCAACAAAACTGGGAGAAATGGGTGTTGTTTTAAGCCAGAAAGTTGGTAGCTATGGGGGAAAACGAAAACATCCACTTAGTGTGGGGTGGAGTGAGCTTGAAAATGAAGTTTCTATCCCCTCTCATAGATAAAAGATCCTAGCAAGCGTGTTCATTTTGTTCACTTTCTTAGGAAACGTTGGCATAAATAAACAAGTAAACTTCATCCGAACACCTGTCCAAATTATCTCAATTTCTAAATTTGCAACATGTGAAAATGAATTCTTCTTATTCTAGTGACATCAGTTAGATTTCAGTGTATTTGACTAAAAGGTATAAAACTATTTTCAATTCAGTTGTCTTTATGTAAAATTATATGTGGCTAGTAATTCTTTTTTCTTCTTTTTTAAAGATTTTATCTAGCCCTTTCAGCCCCTCATCTTGTCAAACAATTAAATATATTTGACCACTTAACCATCTTCCAAAGAGTGTTCTGAGCCTGGTCTAGAATGATCTAAACACTCATTTAAATTACATTTCCATTTTCCTTTATATAATAAAGTATTGAATTTCTCCAAATTTTTACAATCAGGAAAATTTACAAAATTACTTATTAAAATGGGATTTAAGTCATTTTACACAGTTCTCCTTGTGTATTTTAAAATTAATTATGAAACTGATAATACTAAATTATTTTATTAGGCTAATATATGTTTCATATGCCCTACATGGGTTGTGTACTGTAATCTCCAATAATTTACTATTGACAATGCAGTGATTATGACATTATAAAACTAGGCTCTGTAAGCAATAGCTGGTACATAGGGAGAGACACTCCAGTTTTCCCAGAAATAATGAGATGTGCAGCAGGAAGATAATTTGAATTAGAGGCTAGGAACATGATACTGCTATTTCCAAACGGCAGCATGGATGGAAGTAGGACCCCGAATTCCTCGTCTAATTTTCAACATAATTGCGAGTTAGTATCCATCTGTTTGAGGTCCTTATGTCTATGGAGCTAAACAGTCATTATGATTTTTGCAAATATTTTTTAGATGGTCAGACTCTGGGAGAAAAACTTTGGCGTGCATATGAGATTTCTGGTAGAATTAATTATTTAGTAGATTTAGTTAATTCTACTCCTCGTAAAGAGAAGACAAACAAAACACAGCATGCTTGGACAGCACAGAGGTTTTTTCTCTTTTTTAGCCAACACTTGTATACTCTGCATCATTGCTCCTTTCAGTCCG